CAAATAACAGTACACAGCATCTGGCGTGGTGGATCGTGGAAGATTCCACGTGAGAGTAGACAAAAGGTCATAATATTACATATCACTACACTACATTGAGAAGAGAGCAATGCTGGGAACCCTTCTTTCTTCCACCTATTGGAGTTTATTCCCAGAGGTACAGATGCAGGTGGGATCTGGACCAGCCTCCTCTGGATCATCCTCGTAATACCAGGTTCAGGTGAATAGCACCCTGTTCCTGTGGTTGAGATCAGTAGATGCCTCCCTTCTCAGTAATTCCAGTTGCAGGATGTTTCATTTCCCTGCTCCTGTGGTTGAGCTAGGGGACTTCGTCTGCCTCATAATACTGGTTGCAGGATGTACATTGCCCTGTTCCTATGGTTGAGCAGCCATTCCACATCCTACTTGTAATGCCAGGTGCACATGGTTTCTTCCCTGCTCTTACAGTTGAGTTGGACTTGTTCTTTTCCTGCTCATAATACTGGGTATGGGATGTATCCCTGTTCTTATGGTTGAATTGAGTCTCAGACACAACCCCATAATTATGTGGTATACTTCCTGACTTCTACAATTGATTTGTAAGTTTGTCCAGAGTTTACCATTTGCTTACTTCCTCGTCGTAATTCTGGTTGTTTGCAGTATAACAGTCTGTTTACTCGTGGTTGGGGTTGCTTTGTATATTGTTCACAATCTGCTTGCTCTAGTCACATACAATGTCTATCCTCTGTTTGGTGATTACATACCGTCATAATATCGAGAGCGTGATGTGGAACCTCGTATGTACAGTTAGGGTTGGGGAGAGACCTGTATCATTCTTTCTGAGACCCTTTCCTAGTCTGGTCCTCAGTGCTGCCCTTTTCTCAATACTTCACTACTTCGATGGCAAAGAGCATACCTGTTCAATTTCCTATGGATACTTTCCTTAGGGGGGGGTCTCTTACTTCTACATAACACTAGTCCCTCCACCTACTTAATGTGGGATTCTAGCTATTTGGGTGAGTAGAGGTATGTATCATATGGGAAATTATCATTTTCTTACAATAAAAATAGATTTCTGATAGATAGATATCCCTTCTCACACACTTCTCACCCCTCCTCCCTACTTCTGATGTTTTTATATTTCTTGTGTCTAATCTCGAAAGTGAGGTACATATAAAGTAATATAGAGGGAGCCAACTGCTCTAGGAGAGGTTGTCACACGCTCTATGCATGCTAATTGAACAGCTCAAATTGATGGGGCATAATGGCTAGTGTATCAAGTGACAAAATGTCTTCTCAATGCATTAGAGGGCAGTGGAAGATCTAGAAAAGCTATTTGTGTGAGAGGTGATAAGCGTCTATCAGAAATCTTTTTTCAGTGTAAGAAAATGATAACTTCTCTCCAAGGTGATCAATGTGTTCAGACATTGTCATTTGCTAGTCTACCACAATACCCACAAAAATTGCAGATTTTCTGTGTTGAACTCTTCTTTCTGCATATGTCACCATGAAGAGAGAAGTGTTTGTATGAGATCTGGTAGCTAAATATCCAAAAGGCTCTTGTGTGATGGATAATTTGTTATTGATAGTACACTGATATAGGATTTTATTGGCTACTTACAGATGCTCAACCACTCCTATTGATGTGTGCGAGATGCTTATAACGATTATATCATCAACATATATATATGGTGTCACTTCAGGAACTTCCAGTACGTTTACCAAATTATCTGTGAATATGCTGAAGAGACCAGGACTCATTGCAGACCCTCATATCACATCAGAGCTGATATTACAAAATCTTCAAACCTCTGTTTCCTAACTTTTGACTGACATTGCTTAGTGTCCAGCATACCAAATATCCATCTTATGAGGATATCAGACTCCTAGAGCTTTGTTGTTAAAATGCCAATATCCACTCGATTGTAGGCATTCTCAAGGTAAAATAGCCCATCACCACAGCACTGAACTGTCTCTGCTAACATTGCTGAATGCTGTCTGACTCCCTCAACATTTATTATTGTCCCTTTCACAATGATAGGCAGACAGTCTCTCTCCTCCAAGTCACAATTGAGTCATTTTACTGCTACTTTTTCCTTGAGCAGAGGAAGCTAGCCCTCTTTTAAGAAGACCTAGGATCACATCCCAGACAACCACATAAATAGTCCTTCTTCAGACATTTTTGAAGATGACAGCAAATTAGCAGCCAAAATGTAGAATATAAATTAGTTAACATTATGTAGCCAGTAAATTAAACAAACTTATATTAGTAACTAATTAATAAGTAGACTTACTTAGTCACTTAGACTACAAACCATGACAACTAACTTGATGATAGTTTTGTTCTTTTGGGCCATTTGATAGTAGTTTTCCTTTAAATATTATACAATAAAGCCTTAAATAGGTATTGTATTTTTTTGTCTTATATACTGCTAATTTACTACACATTGCCACCAAAATACTTTACAAAATTAATCCCTCTTAATGTGGATGTTCCTGGGAAGGTTCTGCCTGTGCAATTTACCTTCTCTGAGATCCAAACATTCACTATGTGCTTGCCTCGAAGGGAAAGAGAAGAACCTCGTATTTGCAACACACTACTTTGCCCTTTAATTCCTGTAGGCAGGAAGTTCTTGGGTGGCACCCTTGGGGTCAGTTAACTGATAAATTTTTGCTGGAGTCAACTTACTGCCAGTATTGGGATGGGTGTCTGGATAGTACATCTGATACTTTTGTTTGGGTTTAGTGCCTATGAATCTCTAGAGTTTGCTAACTACAATCATTATGTTGAGCTTTTTGGTATTGCAGCACATCCTCTTGTAAAACTCCATGATGGGTAGAATTAGTTGGC